GTTTATACAAGTTAGTGTATTTGACAACAAGGCATAAGCTTGAAGCTATCATAGAGTTTAAACAAGTAAGTGTATTTGATGAGAAGGCATTAGCTTGAAGCCATCATAAAGTTTAAACAAGTTAGAGTATTTGATGAGAAGGTATTAGCTTGAAGCCATCACAGAGTTTATACAAGTTAGTGTATCTGACAACAAGGCATAAGCTTGAAGCTATCATAGAGTTTAAACAAGTAAGTGTATTTAATGAGAAGGCATTAGCTTGAAGCCATCATAAAGTTTAAATAAGTTACAGTATTTGATGAGAAGGCATTAGCTTGAAGCCATCATAAAGTTTAAATAAGTTACAGTATTTGATGAGAAGGCATTAGCTTGAAGCCATCATAAAGTTTAAACAAGTTAGTGTATTTGATGAGAAGGTATTAGCTTGAATCTATCATAGAGTTTAAACAAGTTAGAGTATTTGATGAGAAGGTATTAACTTGAAGCCATCACAGAGTTAGTGTATTTGACAACAAGGCATAAGCTTGAAGCTATCATAGAATTTAAACAAGTTAGTGTATTTGATGAGAAGGTATTAGCTTGAAGCCATCATAGAATTTAAACAAGTTAGTGTATTTGATGAGAAAGTATTAACTTGAAGCCATCACACTGTTTAAACAAGTTAGTGTATTTGATGAGAAGGTATTAGCTTGAATCTATCATAGAGTTTAAACAAGTTAGAGTATTTGATGAGAAGGTATTAACTTGAAGCCATCACAGAGTTAGTGTATTTGACAACAAGGCATAAGCTTGAAGCCATCATTGAGTTTAAACAAATTAATGTTCAAATTATACAAAGTTTTCTTTTCGAACACAGATCATTAGTGAAATGTTCTCTGAAAGAGAGAACTGATCACATGCATCTTTGCTCCAATTAGCTTGCTTCGATGCTGATAAGCTTTGCCCTGTGGAAATCTAATTACACACAGGCTCTGATTATGGTTTACTCTTGCATATCTTCGCATAATTTACACACTGGGCTCGATCAGCTACGTTATAGTTAAAATTTCTTATAATAATTACTTGATATCAACCCTGATGGCACACACGAGAAAGTTAATGAGTGAAAGTAAAGAAAACTCTTATTATCGCATCTGTACATTGCATCTGACTACAGTACGTGTATACTGTATATCCCCATATTCTTACTTATTATGGCCGTTAATACACTCACTTATAAGTCACATTCTGTACTAGCTCTTCAGAAAATGAGGAAAGGGAAGGAAGTGATGACTACTTTTTGTCACACGTGGGGGAGTATAGAAATCAGTTATTAGAACAAAAGTTTAAAGGTCAGTCATATGTAGGCGCAACTCCTTAAAAGGCTCCATGTTATATCAAATAAAAGTTATCACTAGTTTCAGTGTTAAACAAGACCCGTGTAGTATTCCTATCGTGCAATTCCAAAAGTAAAATTTTTTGGATGTTTGTAAAAAAGTAAATTAGTAAATAGGTATGCGAAATGACGAAAAGATTCTTTGAATAGTGTCCAAAAACGTGACTTACGTTAAAAGAATTAATTCGCGAATAATAGGAGCAAGCATTTTTGGTTCCTCGTTGATAAAATAAACACGTCATTATCATACAACAATTACGGACTCTGTATGCAAGGCGCTTTTGTTTGTAGTTAAGCCCTAAGCTAAACAATGGGCTATCTGTGATGTGCTCACCACGAATATAGAAGCCCGATTTCTAGCAGAGTAACCGCTGTACCACTAGGGGCATGGAAGCTGCAGTTTGGAGTGTACATACTAGCTGAATTATTTGTCACATGACAATTTCCCACGTTAAAAGCTGATGCATAATCTTATCTTAAAAAAGGAAGGAGAGAGCGTTCAATGAATCCACTCCTGGTGGCGACAAAACAGCCTAAGTTGATACAACCTAGTGGACTTTATGAATAGCATATTTTTAGATACTTAGGAGTTTTAAAACAAATGGCTAACATATGATGCATACAGAAGCGGATTCGGAGAATAATTTTATACATAACACTCTCTTCCGGCCTAGGAAAGTACTTAATGTCTGAGTGGCAACAAGGTTCGTTTGTACTCGTTGTTTGTCCGTTTTTACAGCCCTGAACGTTTATGTTTTTAAACAACCAACTTGCCACTTCACAAGCTTGGGAATAGATGAGAGGCTTTGTTGTCGGAAATAGTGTTCATTAAATCGCTTTGTATACCTACTTGTTTATCAACAGCATGACTTGCTACGTATACAGTTCACTGTAAGTACAATGACTGGCCACATTATTAGGAGCCATTTGCATATGGAAAATATACTGATCATGTGATATTTCAAGTGACTGCTTTTAGTTCTATAAATGCAGAGAAGTAGTCATATATTAATGAATTTGTTTGTTTTGAATTTCTTGCAAAGCTACGCGAGGGTTATCTGCGCTAGCCATCCCTAATTTAGCAGTGATAAACTAAAGGGAAGGCAGCTAGTCAACATCACCTATCACCAATTATTGGGCTATTCTTTTAACAACGGCTACTGGGAATGACCATCACGTTATAACGCCCCCATGGTTAAAAGAGCGAGCATGTTCGGAGATGGGGATTCGAACCCGCGACCCTCATTATAACTAGTCTGCAAGATAAGAAGAGCGATGTTCTCTCCAAATTTCAGAAAGGCAAGCTAGTAAGTATCTGTCTAATAGCTATGTATTGTTGCCTAACATTGTTTCTTTGATTAAAACAATCTATCGCCAGAGTTTATATAAGTGAAAAACTGTGGTCACTAATCGTTACCAATTAATTAATCAACTGAGTGAAAATACAGTAAGGAGATACTAAACACAACTGCAACTGATACAAAACTAGAACAAAAGTTATAGTTAACCCTATAATTATCGATGTTAATGCTTTTTTGTATTAATTATTCTAAATTAAGTATGCACCAGATTGGTTATTGGTCCATGATAGTTGGTTACAGGGTACCTAATAACCGGAGTCATAGAAAAATCTAAGTACAGATAACAACAGTTACTCCCATTAACTAATTGCTGGGCTCTATGTATTTTACGTAGAAAATAAGTGATTTTGTGCTTTTTCTCTTTGGTTCATCTTTTACGTGTTGTAGAGGTAAAAACATATAATTAATCAATACGGTAAAACATGAGGACCACATTTGCAGTGAACAGTATATAAACAAGCCTGCAATATGAGTGTTAAAAACTCGTTCCATACGAATATTTCAACTTTATAAACAGAACATTTCCATCTAAGCTCGTTTACCAGATATTCTGTTCGTTGCAGACAATTAAATGATACTTGATAGCTGTGAGTTCCACGAACACACAGCAGGTATATAACGCGCGAGTGACGTCAACTACAGAATGATCTTTCAAAGCCATTTTGTAAACTATAGGCCAATATTGTCACCCAGTTATAAATGAAACTCTTAAACTCCGATGGTCCATTGCTTCGCTATTATAATTTAATGCTACTAAGAGTGCTGTATCTCATCCCCTTGGCCGAAGTATTATACCATATTTCAAAACAACTAAAATTACACAGAACTGGTATATCTCTATTCGGATAATATTGTTATTTTTCGAAAACAAGACAACTAACACATTGTTAGTTTTGGAAAATATTTCTTTCTATTTGTCCAAGTCTCTAACCTTAGAAATACAACGCTAGAAACCTGGTTTCGATACCGTGGCGAGCAAAGCACACATTGTGTAGCTTTGTGCTTAACTTCAAACAAACAAACATACTTTGACCGTAACATAATTTAACTAGAACATTAACGAATTTCATTAAAAGGTAACAAAACAAGAAATGAACGTACTTTTTAAATGAACAACCTTTCCAGTTCCATACTTTCTATTAATAATAAAACATAATTTTCATTAGTTCTTTTCTCATCCTAAGATTGACTTTTATATCCCTCATATTTTTGTCTAATGTGAAAGTGATGTTTTTAGACGTTCGCCTTATGTCGTGTAGTGATTCTACATTATATTTTATCACAGTAGTGGATTTTTAAGACGTTCATCTTTTTTCAGAGAAATTATATTTTACACTTTCTTTTTTATCAAATATATTTTCAGACTTTTATGTAAGTAGTGAGTATTTAACTTTAATTTTTTTATCAAAGCAGTGTTGTCTTTAGGATTACATTTCTTCAAAATAATGGGTAGGTTTTAGATTTTTTATTAGAGTAATGGTTTTTAAACTTATCTTTCGTTAGAGTAATGGGTTTTTTAGACTTATCTTTTATTAATGGGTTTTTCAGACTTATCATTTATTAGAGCAGTAGATGTTTAGACATTTCTTTTTCAAAGAAACTGGTTTTAAGCTTTCATTTTTTTTGTTAGGGTAATGTGGTTTTAGACCTTGTGCTTTAACTACAGTTACAGGTCTTAGAAGTTTATCTTCTGTCAGAGTAATGAGACCTTATAGACGTTCTTCTTGTTTTTAGGGAACACGCTCTGTATGAAAATTTAAATGAACTGGGTCTCAAGTCTGAACCCTAGAAAAAAAAAAAATTTTCCCCTTTACCAATTGTGAAATAATCAGGGAATTTTCTGGGGGTGGATGGGGGTTAATATATTTACTAAGATCCCAATATTCTAATAAGATAAAGAAAATTCATGAAAAATATTTCACCTCTAAAAACTGGAATTTAATCGTAAAAATTGAGCTCTTTTTAAGTACAACACCTGAAACGAATAAATATGATGATGATTCGAAAATATAGTATTATCCGATTTTCGATCGGATAATATTGGTATACAGAGTACTCACCTGTGAGGCTAGTATGTTTTTATATATATATAAATGAAAACTTAAATTTATTTTAGTTTCCACTACAAAACTCATCAGAATATCAGGAAAATAAAGACATGAGATATAAGCTCAGACTTTTTAGATTAAAAAGTAGTTGGTAATGGACGCGTGTGATTCAAAATCCACATCTAATCTAGTAACTCCTGTTTAGGTTGTACTCACCTAAACGCACCATAATCCATTACACGATGTCCTTCTTCTTATTAGTATAGTTGGTCTGGATCTTCGATAGTTGGTGTTCTTGATATTGAGGGTGTAGGGTGTGCACTACAGGTACAAATCTAAGCTACTTACTCGCCTCCGCGGAACAGACAAACTTTCTCTCGTTAACAGTGCCCACACTCTGCCTCGCACTTTTCCTCGTTGTATATGGTCAGGTGACTAACCTTAACCAATGGGAATACGCCTATCTTACATCACTTGAATGACGCACTTATGGAATATCACCAACGGCTCTGTGAATCACCAAGTTCCCTCTACTGTCTGGAAGCTGGGGGTGAGCTTGGTTTACGTGTACTGTACGCGCACAACCAGCAGCAGTGGCGGAAGACATTTGGCTTTAAAGAAAGTCACATATCCGCAGGTTGTTAAGTACGATCGATAGCTAAGGCCTCACAGTTTACGCCCTAATGAAGCCTAGCGCAGTCTGTAAACATGAGAATTTTGAACTTCAAAGAGTTCAGTTATTTTATGACTCATCATAGATTTCAAACTTTATCTTCAAATACCCCTTATGTATCTTAAAGAACGACACAACAAAACGAAACAAAAATTTAAATACGATAATAATCGATCTTCTCTGATAGACGCCATATAATTTTATATTACAAATATAACCCTGATTAATATCAAACGGAGACAAGAACATTACAAAATCTGCATAGTGCTTTACAGTAGTAATACTTAACAAAATAATGAGTTACTAGTCACACTGAACTTTGGCTTTACGGAAAAGAAAAATTAAATGTCTTTCAAAATGTACTGTATCCTGGGCTGTTAGGACTAGGTGTACAGCGAGTTATAACGTATAACTTTACTGGCTTCTCTGCGTGAGCTTGCAGTAGTAAGGTAAAATCTGATTTGCAGAAAGTGAACGGACTTTTCTTGTTTATGGAAAATGAATAATTTAAAGTTTTATTGTTTAATTTGTGATATGCTTAACCTTTTCATCAAAAATATAAACCAGTTTTTGCCACAGAACATGTAAATAAGCAGTAATTGTAAGCGAATTGATTTGATTTTTTTCATATCTTACCATACTTAAGTACAATTCCATGAGACAAGGGCCTAGCGATTAGGGTGCTCGACTCACAATCTTTGCATTGCGGGTTCAAATCCCACCACTAACCATCCTCACTTTTTCAGTCGAAGAAATATTATAATGTGACGGCCAATTCTACTATTTTTGGTAAAGAGTCACCCAAGAGTTGGCGGTAGGTGGTTTTGACTAACTGTCTTCCTTCTCGTTTATCAGTTCCAAAATTAGAGACGGCTAGCGCAGATAACTCCATTATGTGCGAAAATTAAACAAAACAATGACATAAGGTTAGTTTATGAACTACGAACATTGCAGTTTTTAAAGTGTTGTAGTTACAACGAATTCGTAAGAAGTACAAGCAGACTTCATTTTGGTTTTCAAAAAATGTCTGAAATACTTGATAGAAAATTGTTGGGATTTTAGGATATTTTTTATACGTTAGAAACAAATATGAAACTGTTCAAAATCCTGTATTTGCATCATAAGTTTATTTTATTTTCATTATTTTATCTGTATTTCCTATCATTTGAAGACTACGTTTAACGTCCAAATTACAACGATATGGGAGTACATAGAGTTTGACATGAAGCGCTTCACAATTTTGAACTCCAGAAGACTAGACTCAATTATTTTGAAAAAAAAAACACTTCTGTTTTATTTAATATTAATAAGTCTAAAAACGAATCCACGAAAACATAAGTAAACAGCAAACCAGGTTGAAGCAACTTATTGTATTTGTTTTCAATTAAAATAGCAGTCCTACTGTGTGACGTCTCATATACTCAACAAGATGTTCACTAAAAGTTCCCAGCTTGATGTCAGAGTTGTGTTCGCAGTGTTATAAAAGTTAGAAAAAAAATCAAGTTTTGGTTTTCCTGAACAGTTCTTCGATTCGAATATCTTCTTTCCATACTAATGAGATAACAAATACAAGAACATTATTTGTGGTTCATTAGGTAATAAATTTAGTCAAATAAATATTGCAATCATGACACAGATTCGAACTACTAATTTGAAACAAGTTATTTTACCAAGTCTTCTCTTGTTAAAAACACGGTGTTAACTTGTACAGTTAAAACTATTTCTGTTATTATGATATGCAATATAAACTTTGTTAAAAATATTTAATCCTGGACGAAACATCTCCAATTTCCTCTATAAAATTTTGACAAGATTAAATAAGAATGCAAAAGAGAATAAGAGTATTTATATTAATAAATATGCATTTGGAAGAGCGAAGCACTGCTTACAAGAATAGAGCAGAGTTGAGGATTGTAATGTAATGTTTTCAAGAATATAACAGAATTATAATACAACACTATTTAAAGAGCTATAACAGTATTTTCAACAGTATTACTAGGACCTACAATAGTAAAAGTAGAACTTACAAAAATAAGGTATTGTTTACAACAGTAGAGAATTTTCGGAGAGTAAGTCCTTGTTTGAATGTACATCGTAATGCATTAACAAAATTAGGGATTTTTTTTTTAAGGAAAGTATTGATTAATTAATTACATGTGTGAACCGTGTAGTCAATCAATTTCGCGAACCTAATTCGTGAGAACAACATAATCATATGTTATTAATTAATTTCTCAATAAAAATGTATGCAAAAAACACGTTAACATATAAGCTTAAAAATGTAGAATACATAGAATAGACAGGTAATTTTTGAATTATCTAATGTGGGCAATGACGGCTTGTTGCTTGAGATTTTGTGTTATCTGAAACACACAGAAATTACTTTTTCCTGGACAAGATGTTTTTATCACTACATGTAATTCGAGATTCAAATAGATTCATTCCAAACTAATATTAGAAGTTCGTGTAATGTCATTAAGTTAAGCATACCTGCTAATACAGAATACCTGATGTAGACATGAAAGAGACACCTACCATTATTATAAGTAAGGGAATGCAAAATAGAAACTTTGTTAGCAAATACATTAAAATTAACACTTCTACCAGTTATGAACTTTCATATAAAAACATTTAGAATGAATATTTAAAAAATATCGTAATTCAATAAATTAGAAAAACGCATGAATAGCATTGTGACAATATGTGTTAATTTCTGGGCAAAAAACGTAATACGGGTTGGTATTGTTACCTTTAACGAGGGTAACTAAAAAGTTTACCTACGTGTTAAATGTTAAAAGAACTTAATTCTTATTGGCACTCTTTTCCGTGATTATTATCATTTTTTTCCTAGTAAAACACTTAGAGAATTAAGTAATTCATGTTTTTAACAGTAAAGTTTCATAAAGCTCTTGTCAATCATTTTAATGGATTCGACAGGCCCTCTATTAATAATCAGTTGAAAAATCCTTGAAAATTAGGTTTTGCTGCGAACAGTTTTATATTAATGTAGAGATGAAAAGTACTACGGTAGCATACAAGCTGGTAAGTTAATATTGAGTGTCTCATTTCTTTGATGGATTGGTAAGCCTGTAATATATGTATATATTTATCATAAAGCATTGTCAAAAAAAACTTTCTGGGTGAGAGTTAAACAACTTCTAAATACTCGTTTTTTATATATATTAATTTATTAAAGGTAGGGAGTTGTGTGTGTGTGTAAATATGTACATATTTAAATCCTATCCTAAAGTTGTAGTAACTGTCTTTTTCTTCATTTATTTTTTTAGCTGCGTAAAATATTAACGAACAAAAATAAAGACTTAAGCTGTTCGCCCCCCCCCAGTAGTCTGCGGATTAATAACGCTAGAAACCGGGTTTCGATACCCGTGGTGGGCAGAGCACAGATAGCCCATTGTGCAACTTGGTGCTTAGCTTCAAACAAACAAACTTAAGTTGTTCATTGCTAGCAGATACGAATCGAAACGGGTGGAAGCTTACGTAGAGGAGCTTTACTATGTAGAAAGGTATACACAATTATGTTCCACCCTGTATAACACAATTAAGCACTCAATGATATAGTGATTTTTCAACAATGTCTTATTCCTTCTTTGTAAATGACCTAATGGTAGATTAAATAGCAGAAAACAAATAACAGTAATTCCTATACAAAAACACGGTATTTTAATGAAATGATTGAAATGACAAAACAAGACCAATCAATTATTGTAAGTACGAAAACAAACATATTATTTTTACTTACTTGTAACAATGAAAAAAAAAGAAGAAAGGTTACAATGTTTCAAAATACCTCTTATTTCACTTGTTGATTATATTGCCAAAATTCATAGCTTCAACCAGGGACGTAACCAAGGGGGGGGGGGTGTCAAGCGATCACCTCAATATCCTAAAACCTCAAAAGTCCACTGTCTTCTGATTTTTTCCAATAAACACTTGACTTTCATGTAAATCAGTTAGATTCTTTATGTAGAAGAAAATGTGTGTTTTTATTTTTTTAAGAGAAAGACCCACCAACTCTGTAGTGCTGATCACGGTCCTAGCTTCAACAGATTGTACAACACGCCTGTCTCTTGATTGAATGAGAGTGCCGAACTACACACACACTATTTGTTACTTTAAGATAATGATAAGAAGCTTCTTTTGAAGCGAAAGTGTACGAAACGGAAATTATTTATCATTTTGTCACAAGGAACGTTTGCTTACAATAACAAACCAGATGTCTTTCAAACATCATGTATGAGAATTATGAAGTATTTTGGACAACCTCTGCGAGATAAAATGTTGCAATGTCTTGATGTCGGGAATTATCATCAGCATCTACAGTCAAGTTTATTGGAATTCACGAAGACACATTTAAAACAATTTACTTGGCTTTAAAAGAGGTCGTCTTAACCACCCATTATCCACAAGAAGGACGACAACGGTATTCATCAATTCGGCGTATCAAAAAGGATCCCAAGTGTATTACGTTAAGATTATGGCGATCGGATATCAGTCGTGTCATGAAAGATCACCTAAAACTAATTATTAACTAATATTATTATTATATACTAATTAAGTTTCAGCTATTAATATGTTTTTCTTTTGTTTGAATTTCAGCACAAAGATACACAATAAGCTCTCTGTGTTCTGTCCATAACGGGTATCGAAACCCGGCCTCTAGCGTTGTAAGTTCGCAGGCATACCGCTGTGCCACTGGGGGGGGGGCTACTAATCTGCTGCCGAGTTCAGGGAAGTCTTGACAATGACTGTATA